TGTGTGTGTGTGTGTGTGTGTGTGTGTGTGTGTGTGTGAGTGGGTGCATGCAAATTCTGAAGAGCAATGAACTTGGAAGCAGGGTTTAGAAGAGTCCAGATCCCCATGATGTGCTATGATTGATGAGGTATAAAGCTTGAATTTATCAGAAATGAAAGGTTTAGCAGGAAGTGACAGGGGCATGTGTCACTTTAGAAAGATCATCAGGCAGCAGATGGGAAGGAAGGACAGAACTGGGAAAACTAACAGCTTAACAGAACCTGAGAAAGGGAAAAAAGGAAGACCCAACAGGCTGAGCACTCTGCTGGAGGGGATACTGGAGGGAAAGTGTGGGGAAGAGACATGGGTCAGGCTCTGGCCCCCATCTTCTGACTTGGTTTCTCCCACTGAGAGGCAACCCCTAGAAGGAGGTGAAGCATTCATGACGAACTCTCAAGAGTTCTTTGTGATTAGGAGACTGTCAATGCTGGAGAGGTGCATGTAAGCTTGGGAGAGAGGTCACAGTTTTTGAGGGGCAAGGAGTGGGAAAGCTAATGAGAGAAGACCTGGGAAGGCTGAAGATGGGGAGCAGAGCCAGATGCCAACCCTGTCCCCAGAGCTGGTGATACTGTCCCCTAGCACAAGCTATTGATTCAGCAGACCTCAGAGATTTTTCTCCACATTTGCCTGGCTCCCTCCCTTCTCCATCTTCCACTCTGAGCCCTGCTCAGTGGCTCTCTTTGCACCTGCAACTCTGAAGAAAGGCAACTCCCTTTAGGCACACAGGCCTCAGGTAGGTCTGAGCAGTGGCAAACCAATCCACCTGCATTGACCCTGGGTTCCAGGACAGAAGAGAAAGAGCAGGGGAGATGAATGCCAAGCGAGGGGTTCTCTGGCAACTTTCCACAGAGGAACACCCCAAAAGGAAGAGGAGGAAAGTCAGCAAGGTGTTGTTGAGGACATAGTGCTAGGAGGGATAGGTGGACAGAAGAGGAGTGTGAATCTCAGCATGGGCCAGGCCAGAGGTGGGAGACTGAATGGTAAAAGGAAAAAGTAGTTGCATAAGTAATCCAGGAGGCCCCCCTCCCAGAGACCCCATCAGGGGTCTGGAGTCTGTGTACACTGCCACCCATCCAGTGGCCCTGGGTTTGGTGATGTGGTGGAGAGGCATCTGAGTGGACAGGCACAGGGCAGGTCTGTGCTGAGGCTTCCCTCTTGAGGTTAGCACTCACAACAAGAATCCTCAGTGTCTGGTTGACCCGGAGGCCCAACCCCAGGTGCCGGGCTCCTGTTGCAGAGATTCGGTTGTTGCTGAAAAAACAAACAAACAAACAAACAAACTTATGAGTCATAGTCAAGATAATAATCCTGTATCATAGTCAAGATACAGGATTAGTCTAGGTGTCCATCAGCAAGTGAGTGGATAAAGAAAATGTGGTACCTATACACCATGGAGGATTATTCAGCCATAAAGAAGAATGGCATCTTGTCATTAGCAGCATGGGTGAAACTAGAGAACATTATGTTAAGTGAAATAAGCCAGACACAGAAACACAAGGGTCACATGTTCTCTCTCATATATGGAAGCTAAAAAATATCAACCTGAAAATAGGTTAGTGACTACTAGAGTTTGGGAAGGGTTTGGAAGTGGGGAGGTGGAAAAAGAAAGGCTGGATTTGATCAGTGTGAGTATGGAAATATCACACAGAACACAATTGTACAATTAACTCTGACAAAAAAGACTCATTCCTCTTGCAGCTTTCCAAAGAGCTGTGCAGGACTGATTGCCCCAGTGTCTCTTCTGGATCTTCTGTTGCATTCACCAGGATTGGCTTCTCATTTCAGCCCTCCATTCATGCCCAGGTCTTTCAGGCAACTCAGGGTGAAAAAGATGGGTATGATGCCGCCTCACTGGTGACTCTGTTTCCAAGGAGATCACCCAGCCAACAGGCCAGAGTGTCCCTCCTGTGGTGGAGACCAGCCATCACTCCCTGGCCCTTTGAGCTCAGCAGGTGCCCCCACATGTTCTGCTCCATGCTACCTACCCATCACCATGACAACAACTATCGATAATCACCTATCTCCCTGTTCTCATCCTCTCTTCTCCTACGAAACCAACTTTGGCTCAAGTGGTAGCACGCTCGCCTGGCACGCGTGCGGCCCGGGTTCATTCCTCAGTACCACATACAAACAAAGATGTTGTGTCTGTCGAAAAACTAAAAAATAAATATTAAAACAATTCTCTCTCCTCTCTCTCTCTCTCTCTCTCTCTCTCTCTCTCTCTCTCTTAAAAAAATAATAAACCAACTTTGGGCTTCAACTCTGGGCCGCCTTTTCTTAGGAGCCAGTCCCACTTCTGACTTCTCACATGTTGGCTTTGTCTGTGCCATGAATTTCAGCATTTCCTGTTGCTGCCTCCAGCCTTGGCTCTTCCCATGGAGAGGAAAGATGTGTTGGACTGAGTGGGACCTCTTGCCTGCAAGGTGCAGCCCCTGGGGAGGGGCTCAGACACAACAGCCTATAACTTAACTGACATCTGCCTCTTTTTCCCCAGTGGGTTTGCCCCTATCCCATTCATTACCTGTTGAGGGCTGAGATGCCACCTGGCCTGGAGGAAAAACTTCACTCAGAGCTGACCCCAAGCAACCATGCCCGTGGGACCACCAGTCAGAGCCTGACCTTGCTCCCTCCAGAAGGGGATCCATTGAAAGGCAGGGAAGTTCTCACAGGTCACCATCCTGTGCCAGGCCTTCTGAAGGTCATTCACACTTACATTTGGGTATCCCTAGCTACCTGCCTTCAGTGCAGGAATTAGGAGTCACAATGTATTAGTGATGATCTTGAGAGAGAAGGATGGAGCTGGATGTCTTAGAATTGTGGCCAAATCCCTTCCTAAGTAGACTGTCATAGGATCAGAAATGAAAATGAATATCCATGAGATCACAGTGCCCCTGGTCCCTGTGTGATACCCCTATACTTCTCACCTCATGTTGAGTTCCTCCAATACGTTGTTGGCCTTGAGGGCCTCACCCACTGCAGAAGCTCCAGAATCTCCAAAACCATTAAAAGAGATGTCTAGGACTTTCAGGAAGATATTTGCCTAGAACATAAAGAGTGAAGCTGGGACCCACATCTCATGGTGCAGAAAGCATGGGGGCCACATCCTCAGAGCCCAAGAGGCTTGAGGTGCATGATAGGGACAAAATGAAAAAGAGCAGAGATGAGGTAAAGTGCTGTACTTCCCCTCATTAGCTTTAGTTTAGAGGTGATGCTAATGGAGCTGAACAGTCCCAAGCACAACAGAGGAGGCTGGGACTGGTCCATGGTCTCTGGACCCCCAAAGACCAGGCAGTAGTGGGTCCCAAGACACAGTAATCTGATTTCCATGCATGTGGGAGGGGTTTTTGTTGTTGTTGTTAGAGACTTTGCCCAGGGTCACTTTACCAATGAGCCCCATCCCCAGCCCTTTTTATTTTTTATTTTGAGACAGGGTCTTGCTAAGTTTTTTAGTGCCTCTCTTTAAGGTGCTGAGGGTGGTTTTGAGCTTGGCATCCTCTTGCTGCAGTGTCCTGAGCCTCTGAAATTGCAGGTGTACACCAGTACACCTTGCCATGTTGGATTTTCTTAATATCAGGGACCCTGAGACATAAAGTAGCCTCAAGGACCTTGGGTTCCAGCAAAGTTTTGTGGGATAAAATCTGCCCAAGTGTCTGATGGGAAGAGATGTTTTGGTGCTCTGAGAAGAAAAACCCTGACCTACCACCTTGCCTTAGAGGTCCTCCATAAAAGTAGTTGTTACAGGAACATCGAATATGCCTTGTGCCACTCTAGCATTGCTTGAGGCTCGACTCTCAATTTGTATGAACCTCAGTATATAGGGGAGCAAATGAGACGTTTGAGTCAGTGTACTGGCATTCAGGGTTGCAATGGTGTCTTTCAGGAAAACATCTATTTATGTTAATAGTAAGCATGTGGGGCTAGGGTTTTAGCTCAGTCACTGAGCACTTGCCTAGCACACGTGAGCCATTGGATTTTATCCTCAGCACCATATAAAAAGAAACAAATTATGGCTGGGGTTGTGGTTCAGTGGTAGAGCACTTGCCTCGCTTGCATGGGGCACTGGGTTCAATCCTCCATACCACATAATTAAATAAAACAAAGGTATTGTGACCATCTACAGCTAAACATTAAAAAATAAAAATAAACAAATTATGTAAAGGTATTGTATCCGTCTATAAGACTTGACAGATGTTCCCTACTAGCCAAGAGTTTGTACCTGGAGAAGGTACAAGACATTCAGCTCTGGACCCTTCAGTAAATGACCAGATAGTGGGCCCAGTGTACTGTAGTCATCAGATGGGGTGAGGAAAATAAAAGTTACCTAAAACAAACACCCTTTAAGTTCTCTTTAAAGTTTTAATTTTGCACTGAGGATGTGCAAAGCCCTGGGTTCCCCACACCCCCTAAAAATAAAGAATAAGGAAAAAGATCTAAGGTTCATATCTGATGATCTGCAAAGGAGAGGCCCCAGGAACTGACTGGATGGGGGTCTCATACCTCTAGTCCCCTGGCAAACACTATGGCTCCTGGACCCCGGAGGTGATTCCAGCTTATGTTAAGCTCTGTTAGTCCTGTGTTTTCTGCCAAGGCTGGTCCAAGTGTCTCTCCTTTGGAACACCAAGATAGATCTTGTTATTAACTCTGCTCATTCCTTTTTAAAAAATGATACTGTTGCCTGAATCTCTACTGGGCAGGAGGATCTAAGAGATGAGGTCAACATAGGCTTGCCCTGCCCTCACAGAATCCACATTTTATAGGGGAGATACAAATACAAATTAATGGGATGCAAGCTAATATAAACTAAAACAGGGAGGAATAGGAAGAGAGTGGTGGCCTTGATGGGGTCACAAAAGTGATTATAACTCTGAATCGAATATCCACCACTCATGCATTCAAGCATAATGTACAGTAGACACAGGAAAGAACAGAAGTGCAAAGACATTTGAGAAACACACTCAGGCATGGAGCTGGTTAAGGAAGCAGGTGCAATGTGGTAGATAGTAGGTGGTATTTGAGAGAGGCTCAGAAGCCTGTAATTCTATGTCAAAGACAGGGCTCAGGCTCTTCCCTATAGTAGCCAAGGAATTAGGGAAGGCTAAATAGCATTTCAGCAAGATTCCTAGTGTCTGATGATAAACATCAGCAAAGACAGTGAGTGGTCAGGTGACCCATTGAACGGTGCTTGCTATAGGTAAGAGGTGACTGCTAGCACAGCCGTGATGGAGAGGAGGCCCAGGGAGATATTGAAAGGAAGTGACTGTGTATGGAGAAACTCAAAAGGGATATTTAGCATGTAGAACGAGAAGAACCCAAGCCGATAGAATGCTTTCTATCTGTAGTACTTGGCCAGTCTGACCTGTTCCCAGTTCTCCAGAGCACCAGCTCTGACATGTCTCTTGGCAGTCCCCTATTTTGGAATCCCCTTCCTTACTTTTATAACAGCTCTAATATTTCTAATCTGGTTTTTCATAGACTCAGGAAGCCTGTACTGCCTGGTCAGATTGGTTTGAGCCTTTCTGGATCCCTGGAACACCAGAAATCCCTCCATCCTTCCAGGCTCTAGCCACTAGATCTCTTTCTGTCTGATTGGTCTCTGTCACCAGTCTAGGAGTCCCTTGAAGATAAGAATTTGACTCCTCCCCATGATCCCAGAGCCTATTACATGTCTTGTAAGGCTGGTTTGAAGAAGTGCAGAGAGGAAAAAAATGAATGGATCAATAAGAGCACTCAGCCAGCTTTCTCTGCTAGCACATATAGTGGCAGACACTTTTAGCACCTTGGAGAGCTCCCTGTGCCAATGCACTGCCGCTCCAAGAGCCAGACTTAGCACCCAACTCCAGTTTTGATACCTCCAGGTTCTTAGATATGGATACTTCTTCCTTCCCCAGATACTTCCAGAGCTGAGAGGGGAGGGTGGTGGTCATCCACTTGATAGTAATCCCTTCTTTGCTGAATTAGGTCAGTGAGAGGGTTCTTTCTTTTATACATCTGTAATAGCTAATGCTTGGTCTCCATCATCTACACAGCCATCCTGAGGTAGGTGGTGCCATCACGACATGGATCAGGTGAGGAGACTAAGACCGAAACTCCTTCACCACTCAAGGAAATCAGCCATACCTTCAGGTCCCTATTTGGAGAAACAAAATGGCCTTTCCTTTCTCAGGCCCCATTCTACCTTCCTTGTGTACGTATTTGTATCTCCTTAGCTTCCAGCCCCTCCCTTCTAGCTGCCTCTCTGGTGCTTGACCTCTGCTATAGTTTGTATCTTAAGTGGCTCCCAAAGGTTCATATTTTAAAGGCTTGATCCCCACAATGGCACTACTGGAAAGTGACAGAGCCTTTAAGGGGTGGGGCCTAGTGGGATGTCTTAGGTCTTTGGAGTGTATGTTCTTGAAGGGAATTTTGAGACCTAGGCCTCTTCCTCTTAGTCTTTTTGCTTTCTGGCCATAAGTTGAGTAGTTTTGCTCTGCCATATGCCCCTACCATGATGTGCTGCCTCATGAGAGGTCCAAACTAATGGGCCAATTCATCATGAACTGAAACCTCTAAAACTAAGCCAAAATAGGGCTGGGGATGTGGCTCAAGCGGTAGCACGCTTGCCTGGCATGCATGCGGCCCGGGTTCGATCCTCAGCACCACATACAAACAAAGATGTTGTGTCCACCGAAAACTAAAATAATAAATATTTAAAAATTCTCTCTCTTTAAAAAAATAAAACTAAGACAAAATATATCTTTTCTCTTTATAAATTAGTTATCTCAGGTATTTGTTATAGTAACAAAAAATTTACTAATATATAACTAACCAGTTCCATCTAATTGTGACAGTCTGGAAAGACACCTATATTTTGTCAAAATCTGAAATAAACTTCTCCTTAATTTCACTGACTTCCCACAGTAAAATTTTCTTAGAAGGCAATCTGAGTGTCAGTTAAACTCCAGGGCTGATTCTCACAGGCCAACACTAGTGCTTGAGACAGATTATCAATTCCAAAACTTTCCAGATCAGTCAATTTTCTCCTGGGGAATTTATTAAAGTGGAAATACATGTGCATTCCTTTCAAAATATGATTCAAGAGGTCCAGGACCCCAGGTTATTCTTTTTATTTTCCTTTCTTTTGAGATGAGGGTATTACTATGTTGCTCAGGCTGTCCCCAAACTCCTGGGCTCAAGCAATCCTCATGATTATCCAGGACTACAAGCATGTGCCACTGCGCCCTGCTTCTAGGTGATTCTCTTGTGCATGCTAGGCAAACTTTCCACCACACCAAGCTACATCCCCAGCCTGCTTATAGATGATTCTTATAATTGGTTGGAACCTTTGGGAACAGGTACAGAAGTGTATATTCCTGGCAAACAGACTGCTCATGCAAAAGCCCTGGAGCATGAGAGGAAGAGATCAAGCAATCCACTTATGTTTTTCACAGTACCTCAAATAAAATTTTCACACGTTCAGCCATGACTTGCAGCCATTGAATCTTTATACCATAGCCTAGTCACTCTCCCCTGGAACACTAGTCTAGTCATATTGGTTATCTACCAATTTGAGAAACAGGCCTATATACTCACTGTTTCTTTATTTGAAATTCTCGCCCTCTGGTTTTGCCATGACCTCTTCGCAAATCTCATTTAGGTTTAAATATCACCTACTCAAAGAAGCCTCCCTGGCTATCCCTCTAAAGCAAGGAGTCCCTACTCTTTTCTTGTTTTAGATTGTTTCTTTCGGCGCACCAATAATTACTAAGAATTATCTTGTTAATATGTGTTTCTTGAGGACAGGGCCTTTGTTTTGTTTACTTCTAGATCCCTAGTGGCCAAACCAGTGCTAAGTATACACAACAATGGGTAATGAGATATTTGTGGAATGAGTTAAAGGCTGTGTGTACCTAGAGTGGACAAGGAGTGGGCCAAGGTATAGAGAGAGAGCAGAACCAGACATGAATGCTCACTATGGTTCTGCCACCTCCATCCCCTATCATCAAAGGAAGATGAGGTGTAATGTCCCATGGTGGCCCAGACCAGGGATTACCTGCTTGGTCATTCAACTGGTTATAGCTGACATCCAGGGATTTCAGGCCTGTGTGGACCAGCAAGAGTTCAGCAAGGTACTGGGCTGCCTTCTCTTCCAGGCTATTTCCTGCCAGTTGTATCTTCTGCACAGCCTGGTTCACTTTGAGGGCAGCACAAAGAGCCTGGGCTCCTGCCACTCCAATCTGGTTCTCCGACAGATCCACATCTGGGGGCCAGCATCATTCTTCAGTCAGTGGGATCTGAAGTCAAGACCACCCTTATCCACCTTCCTACATCTCCCAAACCTCCATGCCTGAGGCAGAGGAAGAAACTTTGAGGTTGGACTATCTTAGAGTTTCAGCTCTGCCACCCATTGGCTAGGTCCCCTTGGGCCCCTGACCTCTCCCTCCTCGCCTGTTTATAAACTTCTCTGCCAAAGGGTTAAAAGCCACCTACCTTGTGGTACTGTGGAGAATGTTGTTAGAGGAATAGCTACCACATTGTTAACTGGTCTCTGTTCTATTGCCAGGGACTGATGATACTAGCCCAGGTGGCCAGGAAAGGAGCTCTTTCATGGACCAGATACTCTGGTGACCACTTTATATACTCAGTTTTATTTAATACTCACCAAAATCCAATGGCTAAGTGGTATTGTTGGGGCCACTTCACAGGCTGGAAACAGGCTCAACAAGATTTAGTTGCTTGCCCAATCTGCCTGCAAAGGTGGCATATGGATCCAGCCTCAATGAATTCCTACCTTGCTCTCCTGCTTCTTTCACAGTCTGGTCTCTGCCTCTCTCCTCTACCCTGCATTCAGGCACTGGGAATCTACTCTATACTGGAGGGGGTGTGCTGGTCAGTGGAGGAGGGGAGTGAGTAGGGCAGACCTGGTCAGGAAAGAAATGGCATCCAGCATTGACTGCTCCACACGCTAGATCCTCAGAGGGTTTAACTCCACCCTCATGTGCTGCATCCTGTGTTAAGCAACCCCCCCCCCATTAGCCACCAGTGGACCCCAAGTGAGGCCTGACTTTCCACATCACTGAGAAAAAAGTAAAGGAAAGAACTCAAGCCTGCCCACCTGCCCCAGGCTCAGCACCTACCACAGATGCTGCTGTTTTTGCTCAGGACATAGGCCAGGGCCTCTGCACCAGCCACACAGAGCCCATTGTCCTGAAGATCCAGCCGCTTAATGTAGGGATTGGAGATTAACATGGAAGCCAGAGCCCATGCCCCCTGGAACAGAGCAGAGAGTCCTGAGAGGTCAGGTTCTTCTCAGGGCTGAGGGCACCAAACACATCTAGCCATCTCTGAGCTCATGTTTCCAGGGCTCAGCCTGCTCAGTGCCCTCCAACCCAAAAGCCTTTACTTTCCCACATTCTGAAGGGACACCTTCTTCTCCCTCTAAGCTCCAATCAGATCTCACCCTCTGAAGTCTTCCCTGACCCTCCAGCAGGTTAGGAGCCTGTATGCTCCCCAACCTTCATGGCTGATGTGTCCCAGCCTCCATCTTTACCCAGATATAGGGGATGGGATATACCTGGCAAAAAGGACAGCTGAGGAGTGTGTGGGATGGTCTCAATGAGAGGCACTCCCATGGCTATTATCTCCTAGGTCCCCCCCACCAAGCCTGACTCCAGAGTTCCACCATAGGTACCTGGGGTCCCAGACCACGGTGCCTCAGCTTCAATTCTGGGGCACACCCTTGGTTCAGAAAGTAGATGGTGGGCACAATGCCATAGGCCTGGCAAGACCCCAAGTGGAGGGCATCCCTGATGGGTTCTCTAAGTCCATGTATGTCTGGAAGGAAACAAGGGAGGTAAATGTGGAGCCCTTCACTAGCACACCCACCTCCCTCCTTACCCTCCATTACTATCCTAGCTGTTTCCCTTCTAGAGGCATTTCTTCCTGTACTGGTGGGACTATTGTCCTCATATTTCAGATCTGTTGGCAGGATTTTGCATTTCTTTGTTCTGAAAACATGTTCTTGTTTTGTTTTGTTTCTGCAATGCTGGATAAAACCCAAGGCCTTATACATGCCAGGCAAGCACTCTACCACTGAGTTACATCCCAAGCCCTGGAAGCATATTCTTAATGATGGACCTCCTAATGTCGCTCAGAAGGGTGGGCATGGCCTGAGAGACCACTGGCTGGCCTGAAATCACCCTACAAAACGATGAGCTCCCACTCAGTCTCAGCCCATTTCCCTCCACACCTGCCAAGAAGCCCCCAAGGTGAGAAGTCAGGCCTAGGCCCCTGCTTCAGAGCACCTTCTGTCTCCAGGTCAGAGTCTGAATCTGCTTCTGAATCCTTGTCGGCCTCCGGGACCCCTGCAAAACACCCAGCGGGTGCTATCGCCTCTTCCCTCTGATCTTCATTTTCCCCAAGCCTCTCACAAGGACCCTTCATGGTTACACCCATTTTGCAGAGGTCGGCTCTGAGGCAGGGGCAGTTTAGCGCCGCACCTAGAAAGTGAGCGGATTCTCAGCTACAGCGCAGCACTGGGAATGTGGGCGGATCCTACGCCCTCGCTGGCCAATCGAATGTGGCATACAGACAACAGACTCTCCCCTCGGCTAATACAGGCGCGCTGCCACTAGCCTGTTGCCCGGGCAACCCGGTGTTTTGGTTGCTGCAGACCTTGAATGGGCCCCTAGCCAGGATTAAAAGTACTCTCCACTGGCCTAGCATAGGGCTGGGCACCTTGAAGGCGTTGTTTATTATTTATTTATTTAGGTAAAGGGGATTGAACTCAGGGGCACTAACACTGAGGCACATCCGCAGCCGTGTGTGTGTGTGTGTGTGTGTGTGTGTGTGTGTGTGTGTGTGTGTGTGTATAAATTGCTGAGACTGGCTTTGAACTCGTGATTCTCCTCAGGCTCCCAAGCCGCTGGGATTACAGGCGTGTGCCACCGGCCAGGCGTGTTCTTCATTCTTGCCACCCGATGAAATTCTAGCATCTCCTTTTTTCACCAAAAGGGAATCATGCCTGACCCCAGAGTTTGTGCTTTAGTCACTGTACTTGGCGGTTGGGAGACAGCTGTGTGGGAGGGCATGGGGAATCTGCAGAGCCCGGTTACCCTCCTCTCTGGAGCTAGACCACATTCTCAGTCTGTGGCTCTCAGTTCTCTCTCATGCTTTGGCCTTTTCTATGCTGTTCTCTCCACCCTACATCTTTTTAAAAAATTATTATTAGTTAATGATAGATCTTTCTTTCTTTCTTTTTTTCCCTTCTTTCTTTCTATGTGGCGCTGAGAATTGAACCCAGTGCCTCACACATGCTAGGCAAGTGCTCTCCCACTTAGCCACAACCCTAGACTCTCCACCCTACATCTTTACCCAACTTTTCTTGCAGTGTTTCAAAATCTGCACATATCAGCTTAGAGGGATTTCTTCTTTTTAAATTTTTTTTTGTTATACATGGACACAATACCTTTATTTAATTAATTTATTTATTATGTGATGCTGAGTATCAAACCCAGTGTCTCATGTGTGCTAGGCAAGCACTCTACCACTGAGCCACATACCCAGCCCTCGGAGGGATTTCTTTTCCTTTTTTTTTTTAATATTTATTTTTTAGTTGTAGTTAGTTGGACCCAATACCTTTATTTTATTTATTTATTTCATGTGGTGCTGAGGATTGAACCCAGGGCCTCACATGTGCTAGGCCACTGAGTCATAACCCCAGCCTTCAGAGGGATTTCTTTATGAAGCTTGCCTTGGCTCCTCCTCTGAGCTCCTTCTGACCCCATGCCACCTGTTCTTCCCCACCCTATAAGGAAGTATAGCAGGAGGGCAGGAGCAGAGCTGCTTCTTTTGGAGTACCTAGGGATCAGCAGAGGAACTCTGGAGAGTAGGAGAGGCCCAGGACAGCTTGGGCCTGGGACCAAGTCCAGAACTGGGGGGTGGAGGCTAGTTCCTGCCCTAAGTGGAGGTGTCCCTTTAACAACAGCTGGCCTGGCCCATTTGGATGCACTCTTTGCCTCCCGATCAGCTGTGGCTGCAGTGTGCTGACTCATTGCACCAATAGCCAGCAGAAACTGGGGGCATGTGCTCCTCAGGGGTCTCAGCAGGCTGGGGGCTTCTGGATTACAAGACAGAGAAGTATGTGATGACCAGGAACTGGCGGGTGGGCGCCTTACAGAGGCTGCTGCAGCTCGGGATTGTGGCCTACGTGGTGGGGTAAGAGAAAATAGTTTTTAGTCAGGTTGGCTGAAGGGATCATGGCTGGTCCTATTGGGCTGAGGGTTGAGAATTTGACTCTTTAGGGACCAGGCTGGTGGTGGTGGGGGTAGCAGGTTGGGACAGGGTTGGAAATAAACAGAATGAGGGATCTTTGTCCATTCCAAGGCTTTCAGAATAATCTCTGTTTGTGTTCCTGCCTGCCCTCCTGCCTTCTTTCCAGGGCCTTATTTCTAGTCTCATATTGGGCTCTGAACACAGGAAGATCAGTCCCATTCCTGCCCGGGAGGAACCCTGGTGAGGCAGAAGGCAGTAGTCCTTTAGATTCATGAGAGCTGGAGCACTGAGGCCCCCCAGAGAGACCACCAGTTCTATCTGGGAGGTCAGAGGAGTCTTTAAGGAGGGAGCTATGTCTAGCTGGGGTAGGAGTAAGGATATTGTCTATGAAAGTCACTGTGGGGGCTGGGGTTATGGCTCAGTAACAGAATGATCACCTAGCGAGTGTGAGGCCCTGGGTTCCATCCTCAGCACCACATAAAAATAAATAAGTACAATAAAGGTATTATGTCCAACTCTAACTAAAAAAAATAAATATTAAAAAAAGTCACTGTGGTAGATGCTGACTCTCCAGTGATTGTCCAAGGCTTTGGTCTGTTCAGGGTATCTAGGGTGACAGTTGATGCTGGAGAGGAGTCAGAAGGCTTTGATGCTGGGCTAGGAGCCTATGGAGTATGGGAAGGGAGTTGAGCTTATAGGATCCAGTTCCTCCACTGTTCACTTTTGCTAGAGTCACACCATACTGTCCATCATCTCCTCCCCAGATGGGCTCTTCTTGCAAAAAAAGGCTACCAAGAACGGGACCTGGACCCCCAGATTTCTGTCATCACCAAACTCAAAGGAGTTTCTGTGACTCAGATCAAGGAGCTCGGGAACCGTTTGTGGGATGTGGCTGACTTCGTGAAACCACCACAGGTAGGTCCCTAGTGCTGCTTCAGGTGGCATGAGTCCTTCCCCTACTGACAGCTCTAATACAAATCATGCACAAGAGAGGCATGTGATATCAGAGTGCATCTGGTTTGGGAAGGAGCATGTAGAGGAGAGTTGCCTAGATGGGGCCTTCAGGAATTGTGTAGGAGGTTTCCTGGTGAACAAGAAGGGAAGCCAAGCCAAAGTAACTTCCTTTATAAAGGTCCAAAGGCTGAGCTTCCTCGCCTGAGGCATCATTGTCATGTGTTTCTCCTCTACCCTCTTGGGCTTTCTGTCCCTAATCCCTCTACCCAGCTGGTCTATATCCCCAATGTCCATCTCTCTTCAACTGATGCTCAAATTATAGCCCCAGTGACCACCTGCCTGGATAGAAGCTGATTCCAGATTCACCCACCATGTCCAAAGATAAATCATCTACCTCTCCTGGCATTCTCACTTCTATTCATCCAACAAGAGCAGTGACACCCACCAGTGCTAAAGCCAGATGCCTTCCTGTCCCTCCCATTATTTTTCACTGCAACCTCTACCATGCCTGGTCTCTGAGTGGGCCCTTTGATTCTCTCCCCTATTCCCTGCCACCAGGTGCACATAAGCAGTAGCCAGGCTGAACTTTTACGCTTAATATCATCAGAACCTCAACCACTGCTCTCTGCCCAGGGAAGGGTCCTCTCCCATGATGGTGACCACCAAGACCCTCCATATCCTAACTGTTGCCATGCCACAATGCCCTCTGCCTAGCCCTTATCTTCCTTTCCTAAGTGTACCATGCTCTCAGGAGCAGCACCTCTGCATGTCCTTGGCCATTTTGACCCCAGGTCAAGCTTACCATCTGCTCTCCCAACCCCCTGCCATTGCCAGCTCTGATGTACATGTGATAAGGGGTCCACCTCTCTTCAAGTCTTTGTGTTTAGTGCTTAGAAGCAGGAGGCTCTTGGAAAATTCAAGTTGAGTGAATGAGAATAAATGTGAGAAATAAACTGGTAACTAAAAGATAAACATGGACACGAGGATCCCTAGGTTCAGAAATGGTCAGAAACCCAGCCAGCTTCCTGTTTGCACCTGCCTCACTGGAAACATTTTCTTGAGGGACAGTTTGGTTGGTTACTAGATGGGGCCAAGACTATTCCCTCAAAAACTAGACTCCTAGGCCTAAGGATGTAGCTCAGCAATAGAGTGTTCATGTGTAAACCCTGGGTTCCATTCCCAGCACCACCCAAACAAACAAAACCAGGCTGTCAGCTTCTGGCCTCCACAGGTGAGGGAACCAAGTAGGGACCAACCTTGAGATTTGCCTCCTAGGGAGAGAACGTGTTCTTCTTGGTCACCAATTTCCTTGTGACGCCAGATCAAGTTCAGAGCAAATGCCCAGAGGTAAGATTGCCTGGGAGAGTGGGTTCCTACTTCCTCTACCAGTCCTGGGTCACCAGCCATGTGTGCTGTGTACTTCCAAAGCCAGGGTATCACAGGAGGCTAACATGGGGAGAAGCATCTCCTTGCAGTCTATAGGGCTAAGGGAAGGCACCCCCTTGGGCTTTTGGTGACTGGAGTCTCTTGTCTACCTCAGCACCCCTCTATCCCGCTGGCTAACTGCTGGGTCAATGAGGACTGTCCTAAAGGGGAGACTGGGACACACAGCCATGGTAACTATAAGCTCTGTCTTTCAGAACCTCTACCAGGGCAGGGGGTGGGAGAGGGCTCTGGGTGTGGTTCTATCAACAAATCTGTTCCACATCCTCCTCATGCCCTGTGGAGATTTGAGGACCTAGAGAACATCTTTTGTTTTCAAGGCATAAAAACAGGTCAATGTGTGGAATTCAACGGGACCCACAGGACTTGTGAAATCCAGAGCTGGTGCCCAGTGGAGAGTGGCACTGTGCCCAAGTAAGTCTCCTACTGATTCCCAGGGCAAGGCAACAGCACAGGCAAAATTCTAACATGGTCCCCTCTACTTATAGGAGGCCCCTGCTGATCCATGCCAAGAACTTCACGCTGTTCATCAAAAACACTGTCACCTTCAGCAAATTCAACTTTTCCAAGTATGTATGGGCTGGTGCTGGTTAACCCCAGGTCCTCCATGACCCCCTGGATCATCTGATCCCTACCTCCACTCCTTGCAGGACCAATGCCTTAGATACCTGGGACTCCGCCTATTTTAAGCACTGTCGCTATGATGCACTCTCCAGCCCCTACTGCCCCGTGTTTGGCATAGGAGACCTTATAGCTGCAGCTGGTGGGGACTTTGAAGACCTGGCATTGCTGGTGGGTTCTTGGAGGCAGGGTTCCTTAAGGGCTAGTGGAGAGGGCCTCAGGCCCATCCACTAGTGCTGTGTAAGCAG